ACATGTAGATTCCATGTTGGAGCGCCATGTCAGCTAACGGATTGTGACATGGCTGTTTTACACAAAGCCTTACGGACATCTCATTTACATCTGTACACATCACACGCGGGACAAAAGGTGCAAAGTCTAAACTTGATATTCCACAATCAACACTAGCGTCAACTAGTGTATCAGGCTATCAATAGCAAGAGGGAATCCATATATGATGTGGATGGCCTACATGTCTATGCCAGAACCACATATATAGCTCCAGCACAAATCGACCCTGTGCGGTCCTGTTCGCCCTGGGGCGATTCTTGATCGGGTAGTACGCATCCATGTTGATGCCGCACTTGCCCGTGGCCACGGGCATGTTGCACCTCATGCAGATGTAGCCAGCCTCACCCCAGCTAGCACTCCACGAGTTCTTCATGATCCAGTAGTCCTTTTTGTTCTCGCTATAGTATAGCCCACCGCTGTGACGCCATTGTCTAGCTTCACCCCACACACGTTGTCGAAGACACTCTGTTGTGTGTGTGTGAGGGTACAAATGAAGTGTGGGGGTGGGGGGCAAAGTTCTTAGACTGTTTGAATGAGATTCGCAAAATGCATTTTTAAATAAATGGCTCAGATGAGTAATTTTATAGTTTGGAACCTACATGAGAATCACATGACAGTTTAGACGGTTCCTATAATTATGAGCTATGGACCCACATGGCGGTTTCATGCTGGAGAGCCACGTCGGCTAATGAACTGTGACGTGGCTATTTTGCACCGGGATGACATACTTAAATAGTTTAGGAACCTTATCTGCAATTTCATGGTTTGAGGACCTAGATGAGAATCGTGTAATACTTTAGGCACCACCGGTGTAATTTATTCTTAATTTTAGTTGCAATAGAGAAAAGACAGGGATCTACATCAACTTAAAGAATGTTTATATAGAAGATATAACTGGATAATTGAGAAGCGGATCAGTTGTTTTGCTTCTTCTGGAATTTGACATAGCCTAATTGTTTTGACCCCGGCTTCTGCTACATTTTGTTTAAGTGAAGTACCGTCATTGTCATAGTTACATAAAAGTGTGATTATATATATAGGAGCTGACTTTGTGCAAAAACAAAAGGTGGCCAAATGATGAAATCATATATAATGGTGAATTTAAGCCTTTTTGCTTTCAGAAATCAAACATCTTCGATTGGATGGAACTGGATTGCAAGATATGTTAATGGGATCGGTGATGTAATCTTCAACTTTTGTATTATGCATTTGCATGTTTGCTTATTGGAGAAGATTAAGGAGGTGAGGCGATCAACAAGCCAGTATCGCATTCCTTCTAAGACATGCATATAGCCAAAATCTCTAATCTATATCTCTTATAATTCTAAACTCCATATCTCAACATGCAACATGTCCACTTCAGCAATGCACTATCACATGCAATTAAAATCCACTAACATATGCAATTGGGATATCTAAGTCAGCAAGGCATACAAAGCATTTTATTGTCCATGTCAACATGCCACGCGATCCACTAACATTAATTTATAATAGTTTATTCCTTTGTATAAGTAATTATATATAGTCTAATTTTATTCTAAATTATCCACAATTCATGCCGCTCTCTATGCTTCTATATATATATATATATATATATATATTATATATATATATAGAGAGAGAGAGAGAGAGAGAGTATTCAGTAGCCAGCTACAAAATAAGTTATTCTGTAGTCACCTCCATTTACGATAATTTTATATACTAATTTACGATAATGTCAATATATATTTACGATAGTTGGGTTACTATAATCTCATAAATTAATATAGTAATTATCGTAACTCAAAGTGGCTACAGAATAAGTTTTGTTGCTTGTTTGCGACTGCTTGAATGAGAAGTGTACGCCCACTCCATTGCAAAAATATTAAGTGTATTTTAGTTTTATCATATATCATATTTATAACAAATTTGTTCTAACTTTGACAGAGTCTATTAAAAAATACTGGCGTGCACTATGTCAAACAAATGCACTATTGAGATATATTTCGTAGTGATTTAATGAAACTAATTTGGTGGTGTCCAAGAATCCAAGTTGATGGATTTTTTAGTTATAAAGTTAAACAAAATGTAAGTTAAAACACCTTACACTTTTTTGAAGGAGCAAGCTAGGAGTAGGCGAGTACACACGTGCATGCGTGATCCGAACGTTGTTTGGGTCTCAGTCGATCCAGCGGCGGTGCATGCCTGTTGGCTTCAAGTCTGACGGCGATTTGTCCACCTCTCTCTGACCCAGTGTTGTTCTGTTGGAGAAGCTACCCGAGAGGAGACCATCTCAACGCAGTCCGCACCGCAGATGAGCTAGTTCAGCGAGGGCAGGGCGTGATGGGCTCATGGCTGATTGGTTGCATTTTCACATTTTTTTTTGTGCGTGCACATACACACAATCTAATCTAATTGGAAACAGTCGTGGAAGGTGGAACTAAAAAAAATTGTTTAGTTGTACTCTCTGGCTAGGCAGAGCAGAGCAGAGTTTCTTTTGGTTGTCTTATGAGAGGGCTGAATGCATTTCAGAAGTCTTAGGCGGAGACCCACCGTGGAACCCAATAGCCTCCAACAGAGTACCTATATGAAAGACTCATTTAAGAATCCTTTGCCTGAGTATCATTTTGGTGCCAGGAGAGACATAACCCAAATCTGAGTATCCTCTCTCCTGGAGACTCATTTGTACAAATTGTTGTCTTTTAGGTCTTATTGTTGGAGAAGACCAAAAATAGGTATTGAATCCTTTGCCTGTAGCGCTATCCAAAGGACGAATATGTCTTGTATTTTGGGTCGCGGTTGTTGGAGACAGTCTAAAGCTTTTTTGTTTTTGTTTATTTTTTCTTCATTTCACAACAACAAGATGCGAGCTTAATATATTTCCATAAAAGGCAAGTACTAACCTGGAGTGTTACCTGTTTTTTCCTGATTTTGGATTTTTCCACAGTATGCATAAAAAACTAAATTTTAGAAGGAAAAAACAGCGCATAAAAAGTTCTCAATGTTCCATCTTAAATTTCTGGATTCCTATGATAGTCTGTAGAAAATTTCACAATTTTGGTCGTTTGAAACGGTACGGAAATAACGATTTAACTAACTAAATCACCCTAATAAATAACAAAACACAAAGAATCATCCATGATCCATATCACTATACCAGCATTAGGGTGCACCTTTTTGTCATAACCTATAGGCTATAGTTCCATACAATAAGACTAATTTAACAAAGAAGAAGTCTAATTTACATCCATCAACTATCATAGTCGTCCGATTTTGCTTCTGCATTACAAAACCAGTTTTTTTACTCTCTTCAACTTTTAAAACCATTTGTTTTTGCACCTTGAGTGGTTTTGCTAATGTGCTATCACATCAGAGGAGATAAATCAAACTAAGTTGAGAGTTTAAGGAGGTAAACCAAACTAGAAATATTTTTTAAAAAACATTAAAAAATTTACCTAAATATTTTTGGATGAAAAAATAATGCAATTAAAAATGCTAAAATTTGGTTTAGTCTAAGAAAAATTGTTTACCTCAAAAGTTTATGAAATTAGTTTCATATTTTTTCTAAAATCATGTTCTATCTTATGGTGCCTACCTTAAAATTGCTTGAATATTTATAGACTCATTTTGGTGCTTATTTGCATGCGAAAGCTCTTGTTATCTATTATAATTAGTTGATACTACCGATCATCCAGACTAGGTAGAAGAGTTAGTGGAACATTGTCAGGACCATAGTGGGCGTTGGTCCCTGCCCTAGGTAAAATTTTAAGTTAGCTGTGTTAGCCTGTGTGTCTATTATAATTGGTCTACATTAACGACCAAGTAACTTTGATGACAAACAAGTGTCATGTAACCACGTCATACTCAATACTATTTAGCAGTTGTGTGGCAGGGTTCATGCAACCACGTAGGTTAGCACATCTACTTTAAAAAATTATCTAGGATAGGGAACCGGTCAGCAGCGTCCAATACAGTCTTCATGACGTTCCGTCAGCGCTTCTATGTGGTCCGAATGGTCAACATCGATTAGTTATATTAGATAACGAGAGCTTCTAGCAAATAAGCATCAAAATAAGTTTCATAAATATTTAAACAATTTCAAGCTTGAGAGAGATAAATTGGACCTTTTTCTTATAGGGAGCGAGTATCAACTAATTGCCATTGTTTCAAGCTCCCATTATCTATTACAATTAGTTGATACCATAAGATAGAGCACGATTTTAGAAAATATCTTTAACTAGTTTCATAATTTTCTATGATTAAGGAAAATTTCTATTGATTTTCTAAGATTTATCTAGAATTCTAGATCCTGCTGTTCAGAGGGATGCTTCCTGATTGCTGGCTGTTATTCATATAATTTTGAGCTTGTTTGGTTGCTAACCAGAGCATCCCCAGGCCTCCGATGATGATCACTGATTGTTGTGGTATTAAATAGTTTCATTATTATGTATTCTATGTCATTCGTGTATGTTGTTACTGCTGCACAGCTGGGCAATTGCTTAATTGGATCCTCCTATATGTCACTCATGTAGCCCTTTTTGCTAAATTGTTGTATCCCCATGTGGTTTCGAATTTTTTTAAGGTACTTGAAAGCTAAATATTGTAGTTCTGATACCTGCTAGTATGATTTGCTTCAAATTGAGTTGTCTATTCTACAACATTGGATGTGTAGTTAATACTCATGGGATTTTCATTGATTCTTTTCTGTTCAGATTTTGTTAAATTGTTGTATCCCCATGTATATGCGTTCCAATTTTTTTACGGTATTTGAAAGCTAAATATTATAGTTCTGATACTTGCTAGTATGATTTGCTTCAAATTTAGTTGTCTATTCTACAACATTGGATGTGTAGTTGTTAATACTCATGGGATTTTCATTGATTCTTTTCTGTTCACATTTAATCGGTCTCCACATAGTAATTTTATGTGTCCTTAGCGGTACTGTTTATGTTTACCTCGCTTTTGTTCCTTCATTTTTGCAGATGCAGATCTTTGTTAAGACCCTCACCGGCAAGACCATCACTCTCAAGGTTGAGTCCTCGGACACCATTGACAACGTCAAGGCTAAGATCCAGGACAACGAAGGCATTCCTCCGGACCAGCAGAGGCTCATATTTGCTGGCAAGCAGCTTGAGGTTGGTCGCACCCTTGCTAACTACAACATTCAGAAGGAGTCAACCCTCCACTTTGTCCTCAGGCTCAGGGGAGGCATGTAGATCTTCGTCAAGACCTGTCGATGTTTTACCACCGATAGCCTGCCACGGGGGTACCCGGGACAGTTGTTCGGGCTTCGGCGAATAGCGGAATTCGGCGGTTACGCAAAGAGACTCACGATTTATACTGGTTCAGGCCCTCGACTTGGTCGAGTAATAACCTTACGTCTAGTTTTGGCATTAGCCTGTTTGCGTTGTATTGCTTTGAGTATCGGGTATGCGTTCTCTTCTTACAATGGGTACCCTCACCAGCCCTTTATAGTCCAGGCGCTGAGAGGCGTTGTTTGTGTCCTATTCGGATACAAGGTCAGAGTCCTAAGCTATGCTTCGGACGCCTTTCCTTGTATAGTTTGCGTTGGAGTTTCCGTTTTGCACGTTGCTTTGCTCCGCGTTCTTCTTGACGATTGGGTTGTAGGCCTTGTTACCAAGGTCTACCTCCCTGCAGTATGGTCCATGGGGGCCCGTAGGGTTCCCCATCGACAAGCCCCCGAGCATTTAATGATTGAGCTTCAAGGGCCAAGTTGTTGTAGTCTTGATCCGGGTCCTTCTTGAAGTGAAATGTTGAGATGGTCTTCTTTGATTCTTCTTTTGGCTGATGTGCACTTTTGCTTGATGTCCTTCGGGTTCTTTTTCCTTTGAGTGCAGCGAGTGCAATTTTTATTGAGTGTAGCCCCCGAGCCTTCTATTTTTTGGTACAAAAAGCTAGAGGGTCAAAATTTTTGAAAATATGTTTTTCTATGGTAGGTACTTGCAGCCCCCGAGTCTTCTCCGGGTTCTTTTCTGTTGAAAAGAAGCCGGAAGAAGGGTCTTGATTTGTACTCCTTTGATCTTTGTCTTTTGCTGGTCACGGATGGGTCTTGTATAGCCATGAGTGAGCGTCTTTTTTTACTTTTTGTCAGGAATCTTGCTTTTGGGCACTATTTGCCTTTGTTGCTTTGCTCTTTTGTTCTTTTCCCCTCTCTTTCTTGTGATCTTTAGCCTTGTTTACCTCTGGTTTGCTATAAATACCTTCTTTGTTGGTTGTGGTTTTGCCTTGAGTAGGAAAATTCTTCTTCAATTCTTTCTTCATTCATAGATATGCTGGTGTGTGAGGTTGAGCAGCCCTCGGGCTTATGCTTGGTTGGTAATGATCATGCTGCTCTATCTGTTCTTCTACGTCCGAGCTGCCACTGCTGCCGCCACTAGGTTCCTTGTTGTAATATTTAAGAATCTTGTCTCTATCTTATGTCTGAGTTTATCCGGTCCTGTTTGGCCGTCTGTAACATTTGTATTTGTCTTTGATCAATGAGATTTATAATTTTTCTCCGTCCGAGTTCTTTTTCAATTGTAATCCTTTGACATTGTAATTTTGTATGTGATCCTTCATACGTCTCCGAGTTGTTTGTTCGGTTACTTATTGCTGTTGTCATTCTGGTTGTTGGAGAATTCAATGCATGTCTTCACGGGTTGTATTGTTGCTTGTGGAATATTCTCTTGGATATGCTTGTCCTTGAGTGCCGTTCTTTCACGTCAGAGTCCTCTTTTATTGAGTCCTGTCTTTTCACTGTGTCCTTTGTAAGGCTTGTTTCGTTGGTACTCCTAGTCCATGTGCGCCGCTCCTTCGATCTATAAATACCCTCCCGGGGTGCTTGTTTTTATCCATTGAACATTTTGTTGAAACCTTCGTAGTCATGAATATGGTAGTTTATGAAGTAGAGCAGCCCCCGGGCATATCTTGTAGTTCCTGTGCGTCTTGTCGTAGCTGGAGGAAGTCTTGTGATAGGGATTAGAGGTAGACTAATCCCGCAGCGACATTGTACTTGGAAGTACGTGGTGGTAGTTGGAGGAAGTCTTGTGATGTGAGCTTCGTTCCTTCAGCCGGCAGTTCAGGGTTGATCGTCGCCGTCTGTCTTGAGACTGTCCGGTGTAGATCAACACCTGATCCTGCATCACGTCGGGCTTGGGTAGACAGATGCCTGCCGACTTCCCTTGGTCTATGTTGTCCCGTCGTGCTGCTGATTTCCGCCTTGGATGCACTACGTCCGTCCTTTGAAGAAAACAGTGTAGCCGAGCGCGGTTTGTTCTACCGAGTAGCAAATTGGAGCACGTAGTCGTTCCAGAGCCTAGTTGTGTACGGGCTCCTTTTTGCTACCTTGCTTGTCGTAGTGCTGAGTTCATTGAGTCTTGTAAGATGTGTAATCTTCTATTTTTGAAGCCATTTGTAATGGAAAGAATCTTGTCTTCAGAGTTGTCATTCATTTTTCTACCGTACTGTCCCTGCTGTTTATGAGATTCTCGAGTTCTTTCTGTAAGTGCTGGGTTCTTTGTGTTCTCTATGAGGTAACCCTTCGTTGCTTCATGGTTGGTGAGTTCTTTTTGTAGCTAATATGACAGCTCTGCCGTGGTGCTGATGGATAAGTCTGAAATCTACCCGTTGGATCGTACCATTGTGTAGATTTGTGCCTTCCGTCATTTTAGCTGTGTCAGTAAATGGATCGTCGCGTGGTTGATGGTAGAAGCCGAATCGCCATATTAGTTTTGATGAAGGAATTAACTCCGCACTTAACCTTTTATGAGGAATGTTTTAACTCCATCCTTATCTCGAGGAGGCTGTTGAACTGCCTGGGATGGTGATTTGGTCTCTATTTAACTGGCCACTCCGCAATTGTTTTGCCATAGCCACAATGACGAAGAAGAAGTTCATCCATAGGCAGAGTGTCCGTAAGGTGTCACGTTCTTCGCTTGTTCGCTCTCCGAGGGTGGCCGTGGTGGAGTCATCGAGCGGAAGGTCTTCGTCGTCGCCTTCATTGCTAGCCCCTCCGGTGGTGGGGAAGGCTCCCCTTGTTGTGACATCAGCGCCGGTTGTCCCTCTGCAGAAGAAGGATGATCCCCTCGTCTGCTCCTATGGTCACTCTTGTCCCCCTCTCTGCTGCTGGCGCTACTTCGACAAGGGTGGATTTGATCGTCCTTAGTAGTGACAGTGAAGATGAGGTTGATTGGGAGGCGCTCGCCGCCGAAGACGAAGTCGACTGGGGCGCCCTTGCTGTCAAAGATGACAATGATGTCGAATCTGTGGGTAGCGGGTCTCCGGCGAGGAACTGATGATGGCTGGATGCGTTGTCATTAGCCCTCGCTTTGATGTTGGCGTAAAGGATATCGAAGGGCAGATTGTCCGGTCGTAGATTTATCTTGGTGATTTGATGTATGTAGTAGTCATGTTCTTCTATGATCATCATAAACTTTGTTTCCCCAATTTCTCTTTTCCTTTTCTTTTAATGTGGCTTCTTTTGTTTCTCTGTGTGGATGTCTCTGCTTTACTTATTCGTCAGACGAATTGTGTGAGTGATCAGGATTTCTTCCGAGCAGTTGCTTTGTGGTACGTATCCGTAGCTTTGAGTAGACGAGTTGTTTCCATTTGTCGTGAAATGACTCTTTGATAGGTGGAGTGCTTTGTCTGGCTTTCGTTTGCGCCATGTAAACAACTCGGTATGTGTAGAACGTCGTCTTGAGAGACTGTCTTCGAGTGCTTTGTTTGGCTCTCGTGCAAACAACTCGGTATTTGTAGATCGTTGTCCTGACAAATTGTTTTCGAGTGCTTTGCCTGGCTCTTGTGCAAACAACTCGGTATAAATTGTTGTTTTGTCAGACTTCATGTTCTTGCTAGTACTGAAAAGACTTAGGATCGGTGATCTTGAGATTGATAAACCTCTGAGTACTTCATGGTGGAGTTCTGGGAACTTCTTCTTGTTCCTTCAGGTCTTTGCCGAGCAGGGATTACCGGTGCTTTTTTCCTGGTTTTATGATTTTGTGAAGGGTGACTTTTACCGGTGCATCAACAATGTGGTTTCGTATGTCCGGGTTGTTGCCCCTGATGCTCCTTTTGAGCGGATTACTGAAACTTCTGTAATGGCTGAGTTTTCAAGACACTGGGAGGAGGCCAAAGTATAGCTTAGTGGTCTATCAGACAAAATTCTTGATCAAATGAATGTACTTCCTCCTTCTCTTCCGTCTTCTTGAACAGATGTGAAAAGTCAACCTTCTTTTGATGTCCTTGTAATATACTTTGCCTCTGAATTTTTAAGATGTGAGCAGGCTTCGTCCTGTCTTTCTTTTCTTCTTAGATGTCTTTGAATAATATGGACAAGTTTTGCCCTATCTTTCCTTGTGGCTTTTTTCTGCTTTGCCATAGATTGTTTCGCTCTTTGGGTCAGCGACCGAGTTGTTTGGAGTGTTTGTGCTGCTCTTTGGTCGAAGTAGTCGATTGTACCACTCTTGGGGTAGACGATCGAGTTGTTGGAGTGTTTGTGCCCCTCCTTGGGCAACGTAGTCGATCATGCCGCTCTTGGGGTAGGCGACCGAGTTGTTGGAGTGCTTGTGTCCCTTTCTGGGCGAAGTAGTTGATCGTACCACTCTTGGGGTAGGCGACCGAGTTGTTGGAGTGCTTGTGCCGCTTCTTGGGTGAAGTAGTTGATTGTACCACTCTCGGGGTAGGCGATCGAGTTGTTGGAGTGTTTGTGCCCCTCCTTGGGCAACGTAGTCGATCGTGCCGCTCTTGGGGTAGGCGACTGAATTGTTGGAGTGCTTGTGTCCCTCTCTGGGCGAAGTAGTTGATCGTACCGCTCTTGGGGTAGGCGACCGAGCTGTTGGAGTGCTTGTGCCGCTTCTTGGGTGAAGTAGTCGATCGTACCACTCTTGGGGTAGGCGACCGAGTTGTTGGAGTGCTTGTGTCGCTTCTTGGGTGAAGTAGTCAATCGTACCACTCTTGGGGTAGGCGACCGAGCTATTGGAGTGATTGTGCCGCTTCTTGGGCAAAGTAGTCGATCGTACCACTCTTGGGGTAGGCGACCGAGTTGTTGGAGTGCTTGTGCCGCTTCTTGGGCGAAGTAGTCGATTGTACCACTCTTGGGGTAGGCGACCGAGCTGTTGGAGTGTTTGTACTGCTTCTTAGGCGAAGTATTCGATCGTACCACTCTTGGGGTAGGCGACCGGACCCGTATAGCACAACCGTTTCTGGGTTGGATGTT